TGCTAAGTTGCCCAGTTAGCCTCAAACTCACAATTCTTATGAGTTAGCCTCTCAGCTCTGGGTTGAAAGACCAGTGCCACGATTTTGCCTGCTCTTGGATTTCAGTTAAAACGTTTAGATATACAGACTGATTTAGCTATATGATTTTATTGCAAGCATCAAGATAACTTTAACAAGCTTTTAAGTAATTTAAGGATATTTGAGAAAAATGAAGTCTTACTATGTCAGCAGCTACCAGAGAACTTCAGAGAGTTTCTTAGGAAACTGAGGAAAGGTAGACTGAGTTTACAGGAGTACAACATGTTTTAAATTAATTACATCTTAAGCCTTTAAAAAGCAGTCACTATACAACTGTGCATAGAAGTTGCTTTGAGAACTTTCAGAACTGCTCTCAAATCTGTAACTTTAATACATGTAAAGTTTCATTGTGTTTCAGTATAAATTGTTTTTAAAAGTAATCCCTGCCCCGGATCATGGATGCCATCGGGGAGGCCCCTGCACTCCTGGGAGCCTCCGGAGGTGGACTGGCTTTTTGCCCTGGTGTATGTGGGGGACTTCGAGAGCCCATCCTACTTGAAGGGATGCACTCTGTCTCTGAACACATGGGGAGGGACCCAGGACCAGCACAGGAAGATTTGGTGGACTTGGTGGAGCCCCGGTTGGGGGCCCTACCCGGCCTGGGGAGTGGTGGGTGGATGGGGTGGGGGGTAGGTTGGAGGTGGGGGAGAAGGAATGGGGGTAAGGGGAGGGAGAGGGAGAGGGAGAGGGGAATTACATGTGAAACAAGCCTGTTCCCTAACTTGAATTAATAATAATAAAAAGAGAGAAAAAAAATAAGTAGTCCCTGAATTATAATGTTTGTGTACAAATATCATCATGAATGGCATCAATGTAACAGATTCATAGTATATAATCCTAATACTCAGGGTGTTGAAAACAAACCAATAATTCCATTCCAGAAGATAGAACTCTAGATTGTCTCATGATCACTAGAAATGTATCCAAGGAAAATCTGAATATTGACTATCTTGCTTGGTGTGAATGCCTTAGTATCCATGAAATGACTGTTAAATAAATAGTAAGGGACGAAAATAGCTGTAAATCAAATGCTTGAAGATGCCCAGAGATGCATGCAAATTCTCATGATTAAAACAGAAATCAGGAAGAAACAAGTAAGTGGAATGGTCTCCAAATATGGGAAAATTATACATTTCTAAATAATCTACCTGTCAAAGAAGTCACAAGGGGAAATTAGAAGATTCATCATGATGAAAATGTAGTATATAAAAACTGGTGAATACAAGAAAATTTATAGCTATAAATGCCTACGATGGAAAGTAAAACATTTTCAATACATGACATAGGCTTCTACTGTAAGAAGTTAAAAGATGGGGGCTGGAGAGATGGCTCAGCAGTTAAGAGCAGTGGCTGCTCTCCCAGAGGTCCTAAGTTCAATTCCCAGCAACCACATGGTGACTCACAACCATCTATAACAAGATCTGATGTCTTCTTCTGGCGTGCAAGCATATATGCAGGCATGTATACATAATAAATAAATCCTAAAAAGAAAAAAGAAAAGAAGCTAAAAGATTAGGAAGAAGAAAAATTTAAAACTTGAGACTACAAATATAGCCTTAAGAAAAGTAAAAGTAAACTGAGTATGGTGATTCACACTGCAATCCCAGCACTTTGGGAGGCTGAGGTAGAAAGACTGCTTCAAGTCTTGAGTTTTAGGCCAGTCTGGGTTACAGGCTGAGAACTTGTCTCAAAAATAAATAAATAACAATCAAGCTGTAGATTAAGTGAAAAACTTTTAAAAACTGATGGGATGTAGCTCAGTCAGTAGAGTGCTTGCCTCACATGCACAAAGTTCTGGGTCTGATTACTGCACCATACAAAGCACATGCCTGCAATTCTAGCACTTAGGTGGTAGAAGCACAAGGATTAGAAATTCAAGTCACCCTTAACTACAGAGTAAGTATGAGGCCAGCCTGGGCTACATGAGAAAACAAAAGGTTATATGTGCATCTGATTGAGCAATTGTGTTCTTCAGGTATTTGTTCAAGAAAATACCAATAATCATGTCCACAAAGAGACACATAAGAATGCGTGTGGTAGCTGTAACTGAGTGTAGTTCAGAAGCAGTGACCTCACTGAGCATTTGTGAGGCCCTGGATTCAGTCTGTAGAGACATTATAAGATAAGAAAACAGTAAAATGTGCACGGTGGCTTAATTCACAATAGCGCAATGCTGGAAACTAAGTATCCACCACTGAGAAAATGAACAAAAATATTGTGGTACACACACAAAATGAAATACTACTCTGCAATAAAATGAAGTAGGTTATGATATATTTAACAACATGGGTAAATACCAGAGACATATATTGAGCTACACACAAAACAGAAAGAGTCTATAATGAACTACAAGTTACGATGCCAAAGTTTTTATTAGAAAAACTTTCTGGTATATGCTAATGGTCTATATGATAATAACAGCATACATTATATGAAATTACACATTTCCCAGAACTCTGCTGTTAAAGCGACTGACTCATTTCAATATATATAAAATTTACATTAAACTCTATGAAACCATTAAATGGAGGTTAGGTACAGGTAAAACCTAATTGACAGTATATTAATTATTAACACATGAAGCAGTCTATTTTATTATCCTGTTCACTTTTATATATCTTGCCTCTGACTTCCATAGGCACTTGCACTCATGTGAGCATATCCACAATACACAAATAGATGCATACACACAATTTAAAACAAAATAAATATTAAAAAAATTAAAGTAGGGGTAGTGGGGGAGACACTAGGAGATGGCTCAATGGGTAAAGTGCCTGGAACTCCAGTGCTGGGGGTTATGGAGATAGGTGGATCCCAGGAGCTTGCAGGCTAGCCACTCCAACTCAAACACTGAACTGCAGGTTCAGTGAGTGGTCCTGTCTAAAAAAGTGAGGTGAAGAGCCACAGGACTCCCTCTCTGTCCTTCACATATGCATGCAGGGGTACACATATCCATTTAAATTTTATGTGTGCTCACATCTAACTTTTTTGTTCTTTATTTAAATAAGATTAAGAAAAGCATATTTACTCCAACTAAAATATGTAATCATGAAAATATGGCTATTTTGGATTAGCAAAATTCTAATAAGAAATTTGATTGGATTCTTAAATTTAAGTGGGTCATCTGACTCCCCCTTATATTTTTAGGTTTTCTTTTTCTTTTGGTTTTTTGAACCAGGGTTTCTCTGTGTTAAGATTCCTGGCTATCCTGGAACTCGCTTTGTAGACCAGGCTGGCCTTGAACTCACTGAGATCCACCTGCCTCTGCCTCACAAGTGCTAGGATCAAAGGTATACATCACCACCGCCTGGTTATTTTTAGGTTTTCACGCTAAGATTTACGGTTAACTTCAACAGACATTAGAACTATGGTTCTTATAGTCAAATGAATTTCCTTAGTGGATGTTCTATAAGTTGTAGGATAAAAGTTACACTGATTATGTGAAAATATGTCCATGCACATGTATAACAACAGGCCCTTCATCTCAATCCTACCCTACTCGGCTTATATTTGCTGCACACATGGCAAATAAAAGCCATTTTTCTCAGTAACACATAATGTTTAAATAGACACTGTATAACAGAACACCCCCAGTGAAGGTCTCTGTCATTAAAGAAGTATTTTCAAAGAATTGACCTGATGTGCTAAAAATGTGAAAACTTTCCTTCTTCAGCTTTTACATTCTTCTCTAACCATGATCAGTAACTAGACCATTTATGAACCTCAATTATCCTTTATCCAGTGGCTATACAAGTTTTACAAAAAAGTTATTACATGCAAATTTCAGATTGATTTTCTGAATGAATAGACAGTAGTAAAAGAAACCTAAGCCTTATAACAATTTACATTCTTAGATGTGCAAATTTGTATTTCCATAGAGCCTAATAAAGAATGGACGCAAACAAAGTAAGAATCTAACAATGGTTACCTATTACTTACTAAGATATATTAGTTGATGTTAAGAAAAATTATCATTGTATCATTAATAGATCACAGAGAGTCTAGTCTAATACACTGATTTTGATAAATGTGAGAAACTTCATTTCTCTGTCAAGAAAGTTAAGACAGTTTATGGGATTTGAGTTAAGAAAAACCCCAGCAATGAAACTTATTCCTTTTACATTACAGCTAAGAAAACTGAATTTCAGATAATGAACGTCAAGCTGGGCCTTAGTAGTACAGACCCCTAACCCTGTCACTATGGAAGCTGAGGCAAGAGGATCCCAAGTTCAAAGCCTGTATAGGAACAGAGTGATCTCAAAGTCAGCCTGGGCCTCTTAGTGAGACCCTGTTGCAAACAAAACAAAAAAATAGGGCATTAATATGTAGCTCAGTAGCAGAGTACTTGCCTAGTCTATATGAGGGAAAAGATTCAAAGGATGGAGAATACAGTTAGGACTAAATAAAAACTTATCTCCTGATTTCTAACCTATAGCTCATCTTTTTAAATAATGTGAATTTTTTAATGTTGAAAGCACAAAAGAAAAGTAGCACTTTCCTTTTAATTACATGAAATGTTTTCTAACTGGCATACTATTTGGAGAAGCTATATTTAACCGTTTAATACATTAATACAGCACTGCTTTCAGAGCATCTACTTAATTTTAGCTGCAATATTCAGAGCTTCCACCAGGAGGAGTTTAAGGCCATAGATGAAAACTAGAATTTTATTCCCAGTACACTCATTTAAAGTGTCATTAATCAACCACTACACTAATGGAAGCTTTCCTTTTCTAAAATTTCTAGTTCTTCAATAGTGTAATAGAGCCCACAACTTTATAAAATGCTGGCCTTAATGGAGATGAGAGAGAAAGAGGAGAAAGAGGAGAGAAGGAGAAAGAGAAAGAGAGAGAGAGAGACTGAGAGACAATAAATGTTCAAACAAAACTAAACAAAACAAACCACAAACAACCCTTGCTTACCATTTTTGCTTCTGACTGCACTGGCTGCGGGGAGGAAGGGCCTGGAATTCCTGGAACACTAGGCACCATGGTGACTGGCCGAACAAGCTGTGTAAAAGATATTGAAAATAACTCCAACTCACTATAAAACAAAATGTACACTTTTTTTCACTGCACACAATAATGTAATTTTTACCTCTGGATTTAGAAAATTATACACTTTAACTGTAGCTGATCATATCTGCACTGAACTGTATAACTTGATTTATCTTTCAAAAGTTGTCAATTTCTCTGAAACACTAATTCCCAGGTTTTAGTCTTTTTCAAAGGGTTGTATCCCCCCCTCCCATTTCACCTTCAAGAATCAAATCCAAGGCCTTGTACATATGAGGTAAGTGCTTTATTTGTAGCTGAACCACTAGCCATCATTTACTTTTGTTCTTTGAGACAGGATTTCATAAGGTTATTTTGGATGGCTTTGAACTCACTCTGTGGTTCAGGTTAGCTTTGAACTTGCATATTTTTTGTTTCAGCCTCCTAAGTGACACAGACCTGTGTCAGTTAGCCTGGCTTTAACAGTTCCTTCTTATAGACTTATAATAGTCAAAATGACTGGTGCAAAAATTTGTACATTATCTCTTACATTCTAATTTTGCATTTAAAAGGAGTGTCAAAAGAGTGAAAATAAAAATTAAAATAATTTCAATATGAACTTTGATTTACTCAAACAAGTATATGAATTTTCTAAAATGTGTTTTGATGTATTAATATAATATACTGTGCAATAATAAAGAAGTTGGTGTCCCTGACAACTTCTCAGATAATACTTTTAATACTTTAACAGGTTTTTCCATTTTTGCTTTTCACTTTAGCAGTTGTTACATGAATAGGGTTGTTCTCTTCTTTCAGTGCAAGTTGCTTTCAATATAGGCACATTTAAAAGGATAACCATTTTATCCCAAAAGCAATGCAAGAATATTTCTTGCTTCAAAAAAGAGAAAGCAAGCCTTAGTGAGCCTTCACTAAGTCTTTTAAATAACACATTTTGAGTAACAAAGTTCTCTTTAAAGAAGACAAAGCATTTTGGAATTACCTCAATCAATGATAATTTGGGTATTTAGATTACTTAAAAGAAAATCCCAGCACTCAGGTGGCAAAGGCAGGTGGATCTCTGTGAGTTCAAGGCCAATCTGGTCTACATGGTTCCAGACTAGCCAGTGCTACATAGTGGAATCCTGCTTCAAAGTAAGAAAGGAAGGAAAAAATTTTTTAAGATAAAGTTAATAATATGCTACTACTCATTGCTAAGAGCATATCCAAACCATAAATTTTAGAATGTTGCTACAAAGTTGGCTTTTAAAAATAACCCCAAAAAGTTACATAGTAAAGAATTATACCACATGAATCAACACCCAAGTATTCATGTAACAACAGAATAAAACTTATTTTACATTTATTTTTTTTGTATATATATTCCCACATGCATGCCATGGCACACATATGGAGGCCAGAGGACAATTTGCTGGAGTTGGTTCTCTCCTTCCACCATGTGGGACCTTGGGAATGGAACACAGGTTGTCAAACTCAGTGGCAAATGTCTTTATCCACTGAGCCATTTCTCTGGCCCCAGACCAAAACAAAACAAAACAAACAAACAAACAAAAAACCCCAAACCAAAAACCAATTTAATTATATGAATGAATTAAGACGAAGTATTCTTTACAGAAAATTATTAAGAGATTCAAAACATGTTGTATCATAAATAATATAGGGAAATGAAACTAGAATGTTCTGGACAACTTTGCTAGATATCTAACTGCTTTTCAGGATGAAAATGTGAAATGTTGGACTAATTTGAAAAATATGAATAAAACTATTTGTGAAATATGAGGATAGGAAAAATACTACTACTAATTTTTTTATCATTCCAAATACTGGGCTTCAATTATGTGATGGTTCATCTGTGTGTGTGGGTATGTACACTGTGTGCAGGTGCCTATGGAGGCCAAAGTTGTCAGATCCTCTAGAGCTGGAGTTTAGTCAGTTGTGAGTCACCCAAAATGGATACTGAGAACTGAACTTAGGTCCTTTGCAAGAGCAGTTCAAGCTCTTTAACCACAGATCTCCAACAATGTGTTTCTAAATGTTCACGAGACAATTCAATATAGTTAATCATCTTTTCTACATTTTCTAAAATTTGTATATTTAATGTGGCCCTTATAAAACTTCTTTTGGTTTTCTCAAAACAAAGTGCCCCAGATTGGCCTCACATTTATTATATAGCTGAGTGTAGCCTTGAACTTCTGGCCCTCCTATCTCTGCCAATTTAGTATTGGGATTACTAATGTGTCACACCAAGCCTAGATATGAATGTTTAGACCTTAACATGGTTGGGCCATCAAAGGAATTCTATAAACTTCATGTAATCATGAAGGACAAGTGTGGTTTTGTGAAGAACTTTTAGAATTATAAACACCATAGCTATTTGACAGCATTCCAAAACAAATACCTTAAAATAAGAAATTGGAAATATTTAATTCCATAAACCTAGTCAAACTGAAAGGAGCTGAATCAAGAAATAGTACCTCCAAAATACAGAAAACATGTGCGTGGGGAAAGAAATGTTTTCTATCCAATTATGCTTGCCTAGTATAGTAGAGTTGATTATAAGTATCAATGAATAAATATTACCCATTAATAAGCATTTTGATAAATTCCATTTAGTAAGCCAATCAAGCAGTTCAACTCTATTTTCTGGTTATTTTACCAAGACCAGTTTGAGACAAAAACTTAAAATGGTCTAACTTTCCAACTTACTGGGACTGCAGCTGGAACATGCACATTAGAACTTGTAATTGATGCAGGAATAGCAACGGGCATGGTTTGTCCATTAGGAAGATGTAATAGAAGAGGAAATGGGCCTGGTACAGGACTAAGAAAAACAAAACAAGGGAAAAATGTAAAGATCTATACCAACCACCTCTGGAAAATAACAGTCTTTTTCCTCCTATAACTCAAAAATAAATTTTCTAACCTCCAAAAGGCAAATTCCAAAATTTTGTTATTTTTAATTGCATGTTAAATGCATAATCCATGTAGGAATGTTAAAAAAAAAAAATCCTGGGAAAAATCAATTCCCAATTTACAAAATGAGGAAAAATTCTCATCAGAAAAGTCTTGGGAGTTACTGTTAAGGAGTAACTTTTATGTTTTGTGTCACACAGCATAAAAATAAGACCACCTTAAACTTATAGTCTATGTTCATATTTTTTTTTTTTAGCTAAGATTTAGGTATTTAGTTTCCAGTAAGCTAGAAAATGTTATTTTAAAAAGAATATTAAAAGTTTCCAAAAAACCAGACAGATTACTTACTCACTCATTCAATCGCATGCATGCACTCACACACACAGTATAATTCAAATAATTAAATATCCTAGTAAGAAAAGCCTAACAACTCACGTACAGTCATCGACTGACTGGAAGCACTTACACAATTGGCCTGTTAGAGGATGGTGCCTGGGTGATTACAGTACTTGAGGTTGGTGAAGGTACTGCTTGTTGAATAATTACACTTGAGTCAGAACTTGTGAGCAGCACATTGGGAACCTGTAATGATGCTGGACGAACGATAGCTGATGTGGGCTGTGCAGTTTGTGCCAATGGTACTTCCTATTTAATTTTAAGATAAATAAAGGGTGGTATTTAAAAATTCGAGTTAATTCATGTACCTCAGTGAACAGAATGTAACACATTTCTGAAAGCAACCACTAGATAATACTAAATGATCCTCCAAATAAATTAATGTCTAGAGTTAATTGAAAATATCTTAGATGCAGTTGTAAAGTTCAAATGCAATTCTCAAAATTTAAAAAACAAGCCTGCATTTTTGGTTCAATGTGTTTCCTGTCACTTTAAAATAAAATAGGCTGAGCTACTCAGCAATGATTCTGTGAGAATTTCAGTAAGAAACACAGACAAAACCCACTGTCAGTAATCAGAAAACAAAACCTAGAATGGATTGCCCTATTCTATTTGCTTATTATACTGCATAAACAAAAACTGATCCAACAAGGTAGTACTATGACTTCAACAAATTTGGTGTTTAGAAATGTTTTAAGATGTCAGGCGGGGGTGGAATACACCTTTAATCCCAGCACTTGGGAGGCAGAGGCAGGTAGATCTGAGTTTGAGGCCAACCTGATGTACATAGTGAGTTCCAGGACAGAGAAACCCTGTCTTGAAAAAAACAAAAACAAAAACAAAAGTTTTAAGACATTTTAAATTAGTAGAAATGTTTTCTAATTTCAGGTAATTTTTCATCTAGTATCAAAACACCAAGTAATATTGGTATTGTGAATTACACAAAATTAATAAGTAATAAGTACTATACTGAGAGCCTCCCAAAATGAAGGAAAATAGAATTTATGAATACAGGGATGATTCTTAAAATATTTTACAGATTACAAGAGATGAGGGCCTTATCCAGAACTCCTTAACTAGTGTATTCTTTTGAATTCTTTATGCTGCTAGCCACACTCTAATTAAGGTACTTGGAAGGAGAAATTGTAACTACAGCTTTTCAGCACATTTAAAAACTTAAAACTCAAGAACTTGTGAGCAGAGTGATAATCAGTCAAGGAAACTTCCCACCACAGTAGAAGCTAAGTTTTCAACAGTAATGTAATAAGCAGGGAGATCCAGCAGAAGATAAGGTAGTGCTGGATAATGTAATATTGAGGGAAGAAAACTTTTATAAAAAAAAAAAAATCTGATATGCTATTGAAAGAATCAAGAGGAGAACCTGCTAAGGAGAAAGAAGCAATGTTAGGCAGGAAAAACCTTAGAACATGTGATGAAAAGAGTAGCATAAAGTAAGGACGGATGGGTAATGAGTCAAGATCAGAGGCTTTTCCTAAGGAACAAATATAAATTCTCTTAAACAGCAAATCTCTGAGACTTTGAGCTGAGGAAAGAAGGATTCAATGCATTTTTAAGTTCTCTCACCCAGAACTAATGTAAACAGATCAGATACAGAGCAGATTAGAAACATGTTTTAGCCTGGCATGGTACATGCACCTATATGCAGTCCCAGCAACTTAGGAAGCTAAAGCAGAAGGATTATTAATATGAAACTAACTTGGGCAACATAAAGAAACCCTGTGGGTTTCCCCCCCTTTTTTATCATTATTTTTACATTCCAATCCCAGTTCCCCCTCCCTCCTCTCCTCCCAAGCCCTCCACACATACATCCTCATCTGTTCCTTGGAGAGAGTAAGGAGTCCCCTATGAAGGCTACTAAGTATGTCCCATCATCTTGTTAAGGCTGGGCCAAACCTCTCCACCCCATATAACCCTATGTCTAGGCTAGGCAAGGTATCTCTCAATATAAAATGGGCTTTACTAAGTCAGTTTGTGCATTAGAGTTAGATCTTGAACCCACTGCCAGTGGTCCCATATATTGTCCCAGTCACAACATTGTCACCTGTATCAAGGGAGTCTAGTTTGATCTTATACAGGTTCCCCATTTGTCAGACCTGAGTCAGTAATCTCTCACTAGCACTGTTTCTGTGGGTTTTCCCATCATGGTCTTGACTCCTTTTTTGCTCCCCCCTCACTTCGATTATACTCCAGGAGCTTGGCCCATTGGTTAGTTGTGGATTTCTGCATCTGGTTCCATCTGTTTCTGGAAGAGGGTTCAAGCTTCTCTGGGGTAATGGATTGTAGGCTGGGAATCTCTTGCTTTATGTTTGGTATATCCACTTATGATTGAGTACGTACTACATTTGTCTTTTTGGTTTCAGGTTACCTCACTTAGGATGGAGAAACCCTGTGTTTTACAGGAAAAATAAAGGGATCAGTAATGTTCAGTAGTCTAGAGTACATGCTTGAGGCCCTTGATTCTCAGCACTGGAGTTGGGGCAAGAGAAGTAGTGATACAACTGAAACATGATAGCTAAGACTGAGCACAAAACAGGGTAAGAGTCAAAACTTATTTTATAAATAAATCTACTAAGATTTGCTAGTGGTTTCAAAGTCAAGTCAGAAAACAAACATTTGAAGGTGACAAATAAATGCTTAGCTTAAATAAGATGGATACAAATTTTTGTTTCTTTTTTTGTGGGGGGTGGGGAAGGTGGTCTTGCACAGGGAAGGGAGTATGAGGGAGAGGCAGGATCTTGCTTCATAGCCCAGAATGGTTAAAATTTGTTTAGTAGCACAGGCTAGCCTTGAACTTGCAATACTCTTGAGACTATCTTCCCAGTGCAGGAGTTACAAGGACATGTCACCATACCTGGCTGGAGAAAATTTTCTCAGAAGAGAAAATTGAAGAAAGAATTAAGGGCTTTGTTTCAGGCATATAAGTTGTTCCCTAGACATAGCAAAGGAGATGTCAACACAGAGCTGAGATACCTGGGCAGGTATAAATTTGGGATTACCTATAAGAAAATTAAAACAGAGAAGGAGGTCCAGAACTGATTTTATACAACTTAGCAATACTCTGTACTACCTAAAAGGAACTGATGACTAGGAAATGCAGAAGGAGCACCCCTAGAAGATGATAAAGCAGCCACAAAGATGAAAAGTGATAAATGTAAATGGGAAGGAATGTTCTGCAGGGAAATAAAACTGTTCTCAGGATCTATAATAACTGGAATAAATGTAAAAATGACCATCTGTTTAGAAAGAAGAGGATAATTAAGTATATCAAGATAATGATAAAGTATAATCATTAAAAGTTATGATTTTGGGAAATCTCTAAAGGGAATATGTGCTTAGCTTCAAGATTTCTGAGGCTGGGGTTGGGAATAAAACTCAGTGGCAGAGTACCTCCCCAGTATGACTTCAACTGAGTACTGGGGGAAGGAACAATACAGAATAAGGATATAAATAAAGGATTATTGCATGCCTATACCATCTGTTTGTGATTCAAGATAAATGCTATTAGTCAAAAAGTTTAAAGAAATAAGGAACTTTATAAAAATTACAGTAAGCCAGGTTAATTTCTTATTGAAAGAATTAAAAAGATACATTTAGTATAGTCTACATATAGTGTTTGTAAAGCCTATGTTGGCATAAAGTAATGTCCTAGACTTCACATTCACTTGACATTCCTCACTTAAGTCTTGCAGGGTAAATTTCAGTCTGTAAGCTCTACTCATGGGAAGTGCACTATATATGCGTACCACTTATAAATTTTTTGGACAGGTGGTTTAGTTAGTTTTTTGGTTTGTTTTCTGGTGTGTGTGGTATATCTGTAATATATGAATATATGTATATGTGTACATAGTTGTGTGGAGGTAAAGGCATGCACACATAGAGGCCAAAGGACAACCTTTGGCTGTGAGTCTTCGCCTTTCTAGCTTGTTTGAGACAAAGTTTCTTTGCTACTGTGTAAGCTAAGCAGCAGGCCTATGAGTTTCTGGAGATTTTCCTATTACTGCCTCTCATCTCCCTTTAAGGGAATGAAGGAATCACAGGTACTTGTGCTACTGCATCTGGTTCTTATGTGGGTTCTGTAGATCAAAATTCAGGCTGTCAGGCTTAGGGAACAAGTTTAACTCACTGAGCCATCTTTAAATTTTTAATTGTGCCTTTTCTATGTTTAAATACAAATACCAGTATAGTAACCTACATAGTCAATACAGTAGTATCAAGAAGTACAGGTTTAAAACCTGAAAATGATAGGCTATAACATACCAAGTATGTAAAAGGCTATAGTCTACATTTGGGCAAATACACTATGCTTTGGACAGAAAGATGATATTGCTTACTGAGACATTTCTTAGGATACATCACTATCAGGGGTACATAACTATATTCTCATAGTAGAAATCTATTCATATTATGATTTTATAATAACAACTTAAAAAGGAACACTGCCACCGTCTCTTTTTGTGTAGGCACTGTGCTCCTATATAAATGTGCTTATTCTATGTGGTTTCCAAGTGAAAGAGTGATGAAGTACACATTATAATGTAAATCAACACATAACTATAGTCCAGGAAGCCCAAGTTACTAATCTACTTAAGGAAATATCATTCATTTTTTATATCAAATATATACTGTAGAGTAATAATTACTCACTCTTGAATATCCTGCTCAAAAAGCTTCAGTTGTACAGATTTTTCATATCTTAGAATAGCACCCTATTTTCTAAATGGGTTGCAGTTCTCTCTTTTAAATTACATTGTTTAATAAAGGTAATTATTTATGAAGGTGGAATTTCCTCTAAGTATTCGCAAATGTATATATATACACACACACAATCTAAAACTGAATTACATTAAATTCAATGTTACTGTTTTATAAAGATTAAAATAATCAAGTTTGGGAATAGTGAGATAGCTCAGTGGATAAAGGTGCTCACCACCAAGCCTGAAAGCCTGAATTTAATTCCTGGGACCTCCATACCATAAGAAAAGAACTCATTCCTACAAGTTGTCCTCAGACCTCCACATGCCATGCACATCCACAAACATAAACATTAAACAAAGGCATGTAAAAAAATTAATTTTTTCGAAAGGTAATCTTTTGCACAGTTCTAACCTTTTCATCACTGGTGGTAGACTCAGGGTGAGGTAAAGGACTGTCCTGGTGAGTTGTTTCTACAACAGAAGGTTCCTCGATTTTGCTTCTTATGATGGGAGTTGCAAGAGGGGACAAATCTAAAGGCATCTAATGCAAACGACAAAGAAAACTTTGTAAAAAGTTTAAAAAATGGCCAATCAAAATGTTTACATTTATTGAGAAACTGGGAAGTAAAACCCATCACTTATTTCCCATCAGAAGTATTGTTTTTTAAATTTCATGGTTAACAACATACTTTTTTAATGTCATCTTCTGAAGCCTTCTTGAATTCATTTTCAAATGGACTTGCCAACTCATTAAACAGACCCACTTCTTCACAGTTTTTTAGGAATCTTGTTGGTGTTGGTGTCTGATCTGAAATAAATGTCAAGAAGTAAGCACACAAATATAAATGATCATTTTAAGATTCTAAAATGTTGCTAGCAAATTAACAAATTAGTAGCACTGACTCAGTCACATGTTATTTGTCTCTTTGAAGAGATGTCTTCCTTTAAAACAAAATTTGGTTAAGCTTTCTTTTATACCAAGATATTTCCTCAACTTCATGAACCATAATGGTTCATTTATGCTTAGTGTAACTACTCTGAGTAAAGTGACATAAGGCATATTCTGGATAAATTACTATTAACTAACACAGTGATAAGAATATTTTAAAGTTACATCATCAAAAATTGTAATTGTTAAATGCATACAATTTAGGGAAAACTAATTAGAACACATGTGTGTTTTATATTGGCATGTTCATAATGTATTACAAACTCAAGCTTAATATACAATTTTACATCAAAATTCTGAAAGGAAAAAAAGTTAACATTCTCCCCTCCAAAAACAAAACAAAACCCTTATTGCTACTATGCAGCAAAGCATATTTTAAAAAACTGGTGAGAGGGTATATAAGAGTCACATGCCAAAAGAAATGCTCTAGCTTAATTTAATAAGAATGTGAACTCAACTTTATTACAGACTGGACTATTTCAACTGAACATCAATATGCACTCATTGATATGTATGTTAATACATATACTGATTATTAATATACTGACTGTAAAACAAATGAATGAAAAATAAAATTTACAAGTCTTATTTATTCTTATTACTTTGAGGGATTTTTGCTTACAATAGAGTTGGTAGTACATTAAAAGTTATTCATATTTTATGAATTTTAGGGCAGCAATTTTTGAGGTTATATACACAGAATCTACTTAGTACAGCACTGGTATAAGATAAAAAAATCTGTTTAGCTGAAGGTCAGATATTTGTTAATTACGGAATTTTTAGGGGGTATTATAATTTTATTTTTACTCCTTACATGTACCGCATAAAATATTTTTAACAAAAAATAATTCACTTATCATACATGTTAGAAATAAAGTACACTTGTTTTAGTGTAAACAATATCAGAATTACTGTAGGGTCCTTGTATGTCATAATCTTACCTATTATTTACTCTTTAGCCTATACCATACTTTTTGCCTCAAAGACCTTCAAAATAATATTTTAAAAAGAGTTTTGTGTATAGGTATCAGTTTAAAGTCTATTTTAATTCAAATTAGTCAAAATATAAATGTGACTGCTGCTCAAACCTAAAGGGTTTTTCTAAACTGATCAGGATGAAGACAACTAACATTGAAGAGAGGAAAGAGTCTGGAAAACGCACACGCCTCAGTCACTTATGATTATTACTAGTACCATCAGACCTGAGAAAAGTCATCACAGGCACAATTGGTTAACATGCAGACTGCTTAAGGCTACTAATCATCATGCATTCTATTTATACAGTTATGTTAAACTCTTTATTTCACTGTTAGTAAAAATGCTATGACCATTCTATTTTTATACTGTACTAAATGTAATCAGAAAAGTAATTTCTAGAAACCAAATTTAAAACATTCTTGAGATAAAAGTTTACAGAAAGAATGTCTAACAGTAAATCTCAAAGAAACAAAGAATTTTATACTTAGGAAAATACTTCCTAGGTAGTTTTTAGTTTGGTTTATTTAATGTTCTTTAATTTTTGTCGTGGGCCTACTTACTATTTACATATTCCAAAGAAATGCACACTTCACTTTGTTCTGTATCCTTTTATTTACAGCACTGAAGATATGTAGAAAGTTCCCCTCTCTCTATTTTTTTTAACAAATCACTTTTTGCTTCCTCTTACTTATTTATTACCAAATTATAGTACATACAGAAGGAATCATGTGTTATTGTTTCAACATCTTATCTTTCTGAAACATTGCATATGGTGTTTTGATCTCTAGACCAAATAATTATTTTAAAACAGTAATACTATTCAGTATTCAAGTTAATTCTAGAATCATAGCATAAGCTAAGCTTCACAAAACAAAGGATTCTAGTTCAATTTTTGTATATATATATATATATATATATATATATATATATATATTTATCTGTAGTTATGATAGAGAGCTAAAGTATATGTAGAAGTTGACACAGAACTTATCACAATATTTATTCACAAAAGAAACAAATATACTGAAAGTATGCATAGTATGTATTATACAAACACACAGAAATGTATATACATACGAAACATCCAAGAAAACAGCTAATATAGGCCATAGTGATGACACACAAATGTATGAATTGGGTTTCAATTTTCATATATGGAAAATAATAATCTGCTCAGGGTGATACCATATGGTTAGAGGGTACACACACACACACACACACACACACCCTAACTGAACTGAGGTCTCCTATATGAAGAGTATTTTATTTTGTAGTGCTGGGGATTAAAACCAGCACCTTGTGCATATGCTAGGTAAGCACTAAACTACTGATCTACATCCCAGCTTCAAAGTATTATTTATAAAACATTTCATTTGAAATATTTTTAACAAAATTATAATGACCAAGTTTGCTAAATGCTTTTTCTCCACAGGAAGTACCTGATCATTCACTATCTTCATAAAGTTTTGTAAACCAGGTGTGTGACAGCTAAAAGAAACATTAAATACCAATGAGTTCAAGTATCAGTTAAATGTCCACTGAGTAGAAGACATGAATGTTCCAAGGGTTCTAATTAACTTCAACAAAACTGACTTCAAATGGGTGTTTGAAAACAGACCTAAAAGTGAAATGAATGATCAAAAGAAGATACAGAAACGTAATGGGTAAATACATGTTGCCAACATTTACTATAAATGAAGTAATTGAAATATCACCAGACTATAGTATTTACAGAGAATACACAAAAATTGTGCACATTCTGGGTGAAATAGTATATAAGCCATTAATAAAAGCATATACTAACCAGCCACAATGACACTGTCATTACGTGCTGGACCAAATTTCAGTGTCATCTCATGTTTATGTTTATGGACAGCCAAATGATCCTCGTTGGTAAAACGCTGTGGCAAAAAGTTTTAAAATACAGTTAAGATTTTCAATTTGATCAAAGAAAAATGATAAGGATATCAATTTCCACAACTTGTAAAACCACCATTAACAGTGAAATACCAGCTTATAAACTGTAAGGTCTACTGTTAGCACACAAAGACATACTAGATTCAAATAACCAGAGAAGCCTACTACTGAAGAATAAGAAATGACAGTATGTAACTCATTTGAAAGACTTGAAAATGAAACCTGAAGCAAAAAAAAAAAAAATTAATAAGATGGACCACTATTCATTTTTTATTATGTCAGAGAAATGTGAACTCCACAATTCAAAGACTACAAAATAACTGTTTTGACTTAGATGTAAGGTTACTTACCACTTTTTAAGTAAGAATACTCTAAATATGACTTTTGTGCAAATTTAAAAATAAATCTGAGGTCAGGCATGATGGCGCAAACCTTTAATCCCAGCACTAGGGAGGAAGATCTTTCTCAGTTTGAGGCTAACCTTGTCTACATAGAGAGTTCCAGGTCAGCCAGGGCTACATAGTGAGACTATGTCTCAATAGAAAGAAAGAAAGAAAGAAAGAAAGAAAGAAAGAAAGGAAGGAAGGAAGGAGAAGGAGGGAGGGAGGGAGAGAGGGAGGGAGGGAGGGCGGGAGGGAGAGAGGGAGGGAGGGAGGGCGGGAGGGAGAGAGGGAGGGAGGGAGGGAGAGAGGGAGGGAGGGAATTTTCTAAAAAAAAAAAAAAGAAACCTGGTTTTATATTCCACAGTAAAGAATTCCTGTGTTATAATATGACAAAGAAACCGCAATCAAAATATGATACACATCAATTTACTTTAAATTGTTTTAACCTAAAAAAGTGATTTTTTAAGATCATAGCTCATATTAAAATTAATGCATGTTTAAAGCTATTTATCACATCTTTCCTCACCTTACACTGAGTAAGTAGCAGATGCCAACAGTGACACAAAACATTCATGTTTAATTACCTACTGTGTCTGGAAATCAACCTTTAGGAAGAGCTCCTTATCAAGCACTGTTCCCCCAAATAGGGAACCAGTCATTTATTTTGCCCATTTCCTGGTTCAGAAGTTAAATTAACCCCACTCTTTTCTATGGCTTTACAATGGGGATGTTAGAATTGTAGTCTGTTAAGAAGTCTGACACCTACTACCTATTACCATCCTAATACTGCACACAAACTTCAATTTTTAAAAAGGCTTATTTTATTTTTATTTATGTTAATGCATGTGTCTATAGATGTCTGTAAAAGCAATAAGATACTAGAGTCCACAACACTATAAATCACCTGAAGTGGGTACTAGGAACCAAACTCCAGTGTTCTGACAGAGCAACAAACACTCTTAACTATTTTGAGCCCTCTCTCTTGCCCTACAGCTTCAATTAGAAACCCTTCATCAGTGCCCACTGAATTCTGAACTTTGATTATTAGGCCAATCACTGTAATAGACCGATCTTCATGTCTACCCTTCTAAGTAAGCTAAGCAGCTCCTATGATCTCCAAATCTATCATAAATGTTACATAAATGCTAATGGAAAAATGAACTTCTTAAAATAATAGCTGACTCTTTTTTTTTAAAGATTTATTTATTTATTATGGTATACACTATTCTGCTTCCATGTATGTCTGCACACCAGAAGAGGGCACCACGTCTCAAACAGATGGTTGTGAGGCACCATGTGGTTGCTGGGAATCAAACTCATGACCTCTAGAAGAGCAGCCTGTGCTCGTAGCCACTGAGCCATCTCTCCAGCCAGTAAAAGGCAGCAAAAAACTAAGCTACTTTAAAGAAAATCCATGTACTTATAGACACAAATAGAAAATTAACCATTATTTTATGAAAACAATCACCACTTCTTGAGAACCTGTCTGTATTTCCCTATTGAAGGGATGAATGTTCATTGCTTCTGTCCCTTGCTTTACTCATTCATTAACTATCCATTTACCTGTGGACACTGGGACAATCCAACTCTTCCCCACTCAGGCTATCTTCCTATTACTTTATCCTTTTAAGAGTCCTTCCCCAGATCTGGAGAAATTAGTGGTGGTGCTTTTCACAAGCACCCCCAAACCAAAGCTCTAAAGACAATGAACACACTGCAGAGCTTATTGACACTGTTTTGTTGGTTTTTATCCTTGTACTAAAATTCTTAGTGCTATGCTTTTCATCCCACATTAAAAGTATCTGCATGTAAGATTCATCTTAGGTTCCACAGAACTTCCCCATGTGGCTTTTCTATAAAAGGCAATCATTAACGCATTTGTTTGTACACTCATCTTGGTAGAGTTGCCACATTTAAAAAAACTGTGAAGTTGTCAAAATGAAAAGGTAAAAACTCAAGAAAGTTAACCTAGAATTTTTATTCTACTACTGTCCTCTGCTTGGATTAGTTTGGCCACAAACATCAAAGAACAATTGGAGCTGAGGGTGTAGTCTAGTGGTAAAGTGCTGTGTACAGGGCCTTAGGTCTGATGCTCAGCAGTAGCAACAATAATAATAACAAACATAAGCAACTAACCAAATATACCATAGAATAACATTATCTGCTTAATAATGTGAGAATAAAAGCCAACTGTCTTAATTAAAAGGAGTGACTAGATGAAAATCTAAGTGTTATATATTTATTTGTAAACTCTCATGTAAGATTCAAAGATCAAATTAACTACTAGTTACAAACGGCTTATTGATATATTTATATACATACACAGCAAGATTTTTTTAATGTGAAGGACAAAATACACTCAAATTGGTGTCTGATACAGGTGGGCAATCACCTGAGAAAAATGTGTATTTAACAAGAAATTTAAGAGAGTCAGAGTGAAAAATCAATTTGGTTAAAATAAGAAAGATTTTTATATATGAAGGATATGGATTCTTTTTAAACAAACAATAGAGTAACTATTATATGCTGAGGTAAAATTTATAATTTGTGTGAATTGTTTCCTAGACAAACTAAAAAGTTTTTCTTAAGAAGAAACTTTGATCATATTATCGCTCCTCCCTCACTTTGATTGTACTCCAGGAGCTTGGCCCATTGGTTAGTTGTGGATTTCTGCATCTGCTTCCATCTGTTTCTGGAAGAGGGTTCAAGCTTCTCTGGGGTTATGGATTGTAGGATGGGAATCTTTTGCTTTATGTCTGGTATCCACTTATGAGTGAGTACGTACTGCATTTGTCTTTCTGGTTTTGGGTTACCTTACTCAAGATTTTTTTTTTTCTTTTGGTTCTGTTTATTTGCCTGTGAATTTTACGTTGTCATTATTTCTTACTGCTGAGTAGTAGTACTCCATTGTATAAATATACTATGTTTTATTTATCCATTCTTCAGTATGTTTCCAATTGAAGGGAGGGAGGAGCAATAATATGAACAAAGGAGTCAAGACCATGATGGGGAAACCCACAGAAACAGCTGACCTGAGCTAGTGAGAGATCACTGTGAGGTCTCACAAATGGGGAACCTGCATATGACCCAATTAGATGCCCTTAACACAGGTGACAATGTTGTGACTGGGACCACTGCCAGTGGGTCCAAGATCTAACTCTAATACACAAACTGACTTAGTAAAACCCATTCTATATTGAGAGATACCTTGCCCAGCCTAGACACAGGGGCATGTGGAGTGTAGAGGTTCCTTGGCCCAGTCTTAACAAGATGATGGGACAGACTTAGTAGCCTTCCTAGAGGAGGCCTTACCCTCTCGAAGGAACAGATGAGGGTGTATGTGTGGAAGGTTTAGGAGGAGAGGAGGGAGGAGGAACTGGGATTGGAATGTAAAAAAAAATAAAAGAAAAAGAAAAAATGAAGAAACTTTGTAGAATTATAATGATATTACTGGCAATATTAACATATTGAATTAATATAATTTCTTCTAGACAAAGTCCAACTCCAATGCACAATGCAACAGGTTTATATAAAATTCAAGTATTTCTCTCAATAAAAACAAGAGTTTGAACATTTATTTCAATAAACAAGGTTGGAAGGAAGTGAAGAAACATCTAGGACCTTAGCAAGGTAGAAAAAGAATAAATGGGCAGATATGAGGAAGGTGAACATGTGGCATCCACAGTAAATTTGCGTTTTCAAGGTTTGGCCAGGTCTTTTCAGACTTTATTACTGGAGTAGGATGGGGTGTTAAAAGACCACAGTACCTATGTGGGGGTCGTTGGACAACTCTGTGGTATCAGTTCTCTCCCTCTATTGTTACATAGATGTTCCATGGATTGAACTAGGATTGCCAGGCTTGCACGACATGTGCTTTTATAGGCTAAGCTATCTCTTACCAGAATTAATTTCTTAAGAATCAGCCATTCTGTGGTTTTACAGTTATTTTCATGCTATATTATTATTATTACTATTTAATTTGTTAATTTGATGCCATCAGGGTAACAGCTCTTTTTGCTAACTTTTTCCTTAGTCGAAGAGGAACTCTATTCAATTCAGGAAGCTACTGATTAACACACACTGACCTCCACTGAGACTTGAGCTAAGTATATATTGTATCTAATTGCCCTTCTGAATCAGCTTATGGTGTACAATAATTTACCACAAACTATTCTCAATGAAAGTGACATCAAAGGCAAAGGTATTACCAACAAAATAGAGTATGTAAATGAATATTTTACTAAGTTTCTAACTTCCGGTCTTTTATTCAATTCAACAGCATCTCCCCTAAATACAAATGAAGTTAACAGGAGCCTGTGCAATATCTAAAAATTACCTAGGCATTTATAAAAAGACCATGGTAAGAATTCCATGTGCTAATTCTTATAGGCCAGTATTTTACTGTCACTTTAAGAATGTACATTTTAAACAAAGTACCTTTTAAAATGTGAAAATCTACTGGAAATTCTAAATTTAAGTATGTTAGAACAAAATTTGGATTATGCCATATTTAGTGATGAGAAATAAATAATTTGCACTATCATACCAAATTTGTGTTTCTAAAATCAATCATTGCAGGGTATGGTGGAAATACCTTTAAA